ATCAATTTATAGATAAAACTGATAATTTATAAGGAATTTTTAAAAGCTGATTGTTTCGTAATATGATTGCAGATTTCATATGAATCAAATGGGAAAGACTTGATCGATCCTAATTTTTCGGGAGTGGATCAATATTAGTTGTCCAGCTGAGAGTTTTAAAATATATCAGTCATCAGGAATTTCTGAAAAATGAACTTAAAAAAGCCCTCAGGGTTTTCTTAAAGGCTTTACCACTTTGGTTTTTCGTAAAGATAAAGACCTAAAGTGGTCTTTATCTTTACGAAAAAAACCAAAGTGGTAAGCCTACGACGCCTACGAGTGAATTGGATCCGATAAAATTAGATCGTGATTGAGATCAACAAAACGTCTGTGCACCTCTGGCTCTCGGACCAAATTCAAATAAATCATCTGGCGTTGTTGTGACAATCATAATTACCTCCAACAAATCCTTTTCTTCTTGCAGGTGTTTGGCTTTCTCTTCCAACTTTCTCGCAATGGCAACGAGCTCAGAATTCCTCATTTTTAGTTTCTTTATCCTTTCCTCGGCGACATTGTCAATATCTGACTCGGAATTTTGGGATGCTGACAATCCTTTCACTTTCTAAAAAACATTACAAACAAAATCATTGGTATTTCGACTTTTAAACAATTATTGGACAAGGCTGAGCATGATATATATGAGCAAAACTTTAATCACAGGTTCACTTATTTTACTATGCTATTGCTACTAGTGTCCATGAATCCTTCATTGCCCAATCATTTCTTGTGTAGGGTACAACTGAACACAAGGGAAGGGTGAATGACAAAAATGTATTTATAGAAATCTTTGAGCACGATGTGCTTAACCAACTGAATAAAGCCAACACGTACGTGAAAACAAATCATTGACAATTCTTATCTGCTCATAACACTATTCTGTAGCCAGAAAACAACAAAATTTGCCAGCTGCTATGAATATATCAAGATGCGCAGGAGCAGTAAGAGGTAGCTAGGTGAGTGGGTGATGGCTTGTGTTCAAAAACTTTCCATCATAGTGGTACGTGGTAAGTGTGTCCCTCTATTAAGATATCCAATGTCAATGTCACACTAAAAGGCATGCACCAAAATACCCTGAATGTACTTCAGTTCTTAAAAGCAGTCTTGCTGAGATGAACCCTGATTAAATATGTTCATCTATCTAAAAGCAGAATAGTTTTCCCAACAATGGAGGAGTACATACTTAATCTACTGTTAGTTAGCAGGTGAATTCGAACAAAGGTCATGTTTTCATCCTCTTGTGTCATATGCATTACAAATAAGACTTGTTAGTTGCTCCAAAGTTGCAACAGATGCAATTCAAAAATTGCACTTTAAGTGAGATTTATAAAAAAAGTTTTACTGCATGGCCAGCAAAAAAGTAGCTCATCAAATATCCTGAAGCTCAAATTGGAGCTTATTTATCCTCAAGTAACTAATCAGTGCATGGAAAAAGGGTTGCAAAACTGTCAGAGCAATTATACTCATACACAGATAACAATTGCAACATTGCAAGATAATATTGGAGTATCTAACATAAAGGAACACCCAATTTCACTGTTATTATGTTAGTATGTATCACTCAGTAATGACCTTAATTGGCAATTATACATACATATGAAAACTTAATTGCCTTTGACTGAATAAGATGCCCAAAATTTGTGTCATAAAATTGATATATTCATAAGGTGGATTTGCTATAGAGTTTCATTCTATATGCCATTCATTTCATTTGGCTTGTACAAAAAGAATCACTTCAATAATTTCATAGCTATTTCGACCTTACGCTGTCAGATATACATGATATTATATTATTATATGTTCGAAATTGTTACATAGAAAACCAATGAAACATGCATAAAAATGTTGCAAATTACTTTTAAGAATTCCAGCGCAGTTCGAAATATTTAAACTTTGGAGTCTTTACACATGACCTGAGACTAACCTGAGACAAAGTTTGCCCATACTTTATGACATACATACTTTACATGACCACATGGTTTGGATAGCCGGCAAACATCGAAGGGAGGCGGTAAATATGTTGCGCATCAAAGGACAAAAAAATCACAGCCTCGTACCCAGGCGCTTTAATAGTAAAATATATAACGTTGCATTCAGGTCTTATATAGAGGTCAGCTGAAAAAAGCAAGCGCGCAGGGGTGCTTGGGGTTGTTTTTTTTGGCGAGGTAAAAGTTGCATTTGTTTATTGTAAATCCTTTGAATAGAAATTCAAGATTCGAATAAAAAACATGTAGTTTTTGCTAGTTTATGGCAAAATAAATTATTTTTAAAGATATTTTTTCGCGTGTTTGAATTGTAGAAATAACACATCAATCATGCTTGTTTTAAGATTAGATCAGATGTTTTCTGGATCGAAAAATAACTGCCTAATTTATAATCGGCGACGATGTTGGCAATCAGCTTGATATTTATAAAGAAAATCATTCGCGCTTGTATTTCTTACCTCTTTAACCTAACGCATATATTTTTTTCAAAAAACAACCATTTACCGTTTGTTTTTAAAATTTTGGCGCAAATATGGAGATCGATAGAGCCAGCTTTAAAATATTAACATTTTTCATCTTTTGAACACCTTTTTCCCTTACTTTAGACTTTAGAGTCAAAATACACTTTCCAGAGCAATTTGCGTGGAAGGCGTAGGCAAGGGGACAGCAACATCAAAGGGTTCCGCCGAGAGTTCCATAACTGTATATCATAAAACTGTGCTCAGTACATACCCGAACCCATTCTCCAGAAGAAACTTGATGGCACCAACATGGGAAAAGACGGAAATTCTTAGACCTTCATATGTTTGCATTGATAAAAACATCTTTCCCCTTGCATCATCAGAGAAATCCCCTTCCCTTTTAACAGTGGATGTCTTCCAATTCTCAAGGTACTGAAGAAATACATCAACCAACGATCCAAACCGATCGTCATCAACAGAAGTGTAGGGCTTGATGAAATCATTTCTTTTTTTGACATGCTCAGTAAGGGATCTAACATTAGTGCTATCAAAAAAATTGTTCATCATTCGACAGAACTGTCCAGTCCCCAAAACATCATCGTCCTTGCTTACCTCCAATGCCATTGCAACTGATCGACTGAGAAACTGAGTTGCCAATCTCACCTTCATCTTGCCATAACTTGTCAGAACTATGTGATCCAATGTTAACTTTGGAAGCATGTGGAGCCCAACTGCTTGATCTTGATAAAAGAGATCCGCTATGTGACGAAATAATAGGTATTTACCATTGTTCCACATGTATCTACTATGTGATCCTGATTCTGAATTATATAAGGAGTTTCGAGCTGTGTTAACTAAATGTGGAGAATCTGCGAAGAAGTACATAATTCATAAAACGCGATGGTGCAAAAATATTTAAAGTCTTATAAACAACATCACACTCATCTTCACCAGCCAACTTGCTATGGAGATTAAATAATTTCCGATTTGGTGAAGCACCGTCATTGACAAGACCAATCACCCAAAGATCCAGTGACAGCTCCAGTGTTGACACAACTCTCCAGAAAATGGGCATTAGCTGGTATGAAGTGACATTTCCTGTAAAATAATAGGCAATGATATGCTTCATATCAGTGGCCAAACCTCTTACAAAAAAAGCCAATGCATGGGTGGCAACGCTATCTTCCTTCTCCAGGCAGGCATAATTGGTCATAGGATCACCAAGATCAATAAACCCAATCAGATTGCCAGAATGCTTGTCATATACAAGATTTGACTGTATCTTCATCTCGTCCATGACTAGTACGACATAGTGTTGAATTCCGCTAAACGATTTCACCTTGTTTCGCAAAGATTCCAGGTTGTCTGCGTTCACCCAGCTTTTCAAGAGAAAAAATTTTTGTAATCTTTCAAAACTCTTTCACTTGGTAATAAAAAGGAACCACTTTCCCTAAGCTCCCTATAGGCAGCAGGTGATTTGCTGTGAACAGATAGAGCAAACCGAATAATTTGTGGGTGATATCTTCTCCACAACTAGATGATTGCAGCAGCTTAATTTGCTCTTGCCAGAGGAATTTCATGTGTGGAGTGCTATCAAGGCTCTGTTTATTCAGCTGTTTATTGCTGACAAGCTACAATTAATGTAGGACAAAGTTAATTATATTTTATAAACGCAAATGGCGACAAAATATACGAAATTGATCATACATACGTATAGCCCTTCTATTTATGAAGAAGAGAGGTTTTTACGCCAAAAATATTCGGTAAAATATGTATTAACGAGGAGGATAAATTATTATACTCCTGTATATAAGCATTTGGTTTGCATATGAACGAACATTTACATAAAAAATTACCACGAATTTTCAGGTGCAAATACGGTGTAGTAGAAGGAATTTCAATTCAAGAATACCAAAAGGGTAAAATTGAAATCCGCCATTTTTTTAACACGTTGCAAAAACACGTTAGATTGAATATTTTGAAAGAAAGCATAAAATTTCGTAGATTTTGAGATTTCGACTCAATTCTTCCACGCAAAATATTTATCCTAGCTGATAAGAACTTTAGGCTAAATATCGATTTTATTTTATCTTATTTTCACTATAAAACAATAAAGTAATTCTTTTAATTAGTTTACTTAGATAAATTATTTGCAATTAAAATCTCTGTTATAATAATATTATCATACAGTATCTATAAAATAAGTTATAATCTGTGAATGTATATATATACAACGATAAGCTTTACAGTAATTAGTACAAGAACATTTTACAGTAATAAATATATTACATAGAATATTTTAAGATAAATAATGTGCAGTCTTGTATCGAAGAAAAGTAATCCTTCTTTACCACATTATCGTGAATTACTTGAAATAAAATTGTTCAGCCTCCTATAACTGTTTAAATCAAATATTTTTTGAACAATTTAAAGAAAAAAAATAAGAAAATACTGAGTTCGATAAAAAATCGTGGTGAACATCGCATATTTTTAACCGTAGTGGCGTTGGCTAAACGATTTGCTGATATATTTTGGAAGTACGCTAGTTTATGAAGTAATTTACGTGGTGAAGTTGTCAGATTAGCATTTCTTTACACACTATCTGTACAGTTGTTATTTACATAACTTAAACCTGGCATTAAATATATATACGAAAGCTAAAAGTGATTTGTAGTTTAACGAGGGCTCGGAGGTTTGAATAAGGCGTGCTGGGAATTTTAAATAGGTGTATACTACGGGTAAAATTCTGATCATTTAAAGAATACATTCAATATTAGTTGCCATATTGTTAGATGTCAACTTGTATTTTTAAGAAGTAGTAAGAAGTAGTATATAACAACTAAATAAAAGACACATTAAAAAGTATCGAGGTTACTTCGCTTACCCGTTTTTCTTTGATTAAAATATACGTTTTAAAACCTTCTTAAACAGTAACTTGGTCTCTTTCAATTGACTACATCATTTATACGCGCACACTTTACCAACGGAAGTGTATCCTGTGACTTTTTCTACTTGAAAGCTTTCTTAAACATTTTCCTTCCCTTGGAGAAAATATTCTTTCTTTTCTTGTGAGGAATTCCGCCATCTTCAGTGGGACTATGGTTGAGGTTGTTCAGTGACTGTTCCTAAAATGAAGTAGACGAGTAATTTCCACTGACCAGAAAAGCGGAAATCGATGGATCAAGCATTGATCAAGCTCTGTGTTAGAGTTTTGATGTCAGAATTTGTTAAGAACAGGAAATTAAAAAAAAGCAGAATACAACATATCAATATAATCCACAGCTAATTTTGAACTGGCGTATTGCAAATGATTCACATATGACAATCTCAAACCTGTGCATTTGAGGGTGATTTTGTCTTCGAATCCGAGTTTTTTTCATTTGCAAGCAATTCAACGTGGTTTAATTCTTCAACGGGCTTCAAGAAATTTGAAGGAACAAGACCTCGAATACCATTCAACTCGCCCTAAATTAGAAATCAGATTAATAATGTAGAATTGTGTCTTTACAAACAAATATTACCGCGTGCAGATGGGTTTTGTGTTCTGTGGAGACATTGTTCGGCAATATCCCCAGTATTTTGGCTTTAAATTGTGAGAATAATCCACCCAAAAGAGTTTTTACAGATATAAATATCCGGAACTTCACTTTTTGCATTGTTGCTATAAGGGATCTTTCCCTCGAATTAAATAATTAGAACGAAATACTCGGAATTTTGGGCAATTTGCAGAAAACTTGCACGCCAATGTGTTAAAAGATTCATCAAACCCATGAACTATGTAGATTGATGCAGAAAGTACATGATTAAAGACAACTTCCAGCGATTACGATAGCTTAGCATATTTCTGGTTAAATTTTGAAGGAATTGTGAACACCTTTTCAGGAAGAATTGAATCGTTCGCTTATCGTCAAAAGAAAAGAACTAAGAAAGGTGACTAGAGGCATTTCCTGCGCACAAATGTGAAAAATGTTTCTACTTGAAAATTACAAATGCTAATCAAAAGGACATCTCCAAAGCCTCAAACAGGAAAGGCCCGACTTACATCGAAGAAACCGTCGTCGTGGATCTCACCAAAAACGAAAATAATCTCCCCGGACTTGAACTTCAATTCAACCTATAATATTCCATGACAATTCAATTACAAAAAAACAACATTTCTTTGCATTCGAGATTACAGACAAATTGCAGCAAGATCATTTTTTTCTCGCTAAATGTATAGAGCTAATATGATGAAGCTAATTATTTTCTTTGTTAAACACCTACGAATTTGGCGTACTAAAAAATGCTAAATGTTAGTTCAAAATGCATCACATCTTCTTCTCCTTTGGGTGTATAAATTTAAACTGATTAAACTTCATACCTCACTGTCGACGTTAGGAGAATCGCTCAATGGATCATAATCATACAGAGCTTTCATCTTTCTTGGTCGCAAATCATCACTTTCCAAATTCTCCCAAAACGACAACCTGTCACCACTAGTTCCAGTCTCTCCAAGATTCTCCGAAATAATATCGACGTCCAGTTCCCCATTGACTTGGTCATGTGAATTCAGCTCATTTTGCAATCTGACGTCATTGGTATCTTCGTTAAACAAGTCTTCTGCTTCGTTGATATAGACTTCGGAGACCATATTTGATGGAACCAATCCTTGCTTGAGTTTACATTCACCCCAGAGAAAACCATCATCGTCCACATCGCCAATCACCTGAGACAAAGAAAAACATTACAAAGATTGTTCTCAGATGACATTCAGAGCCGACTTCTTTGAAAGAGGCTGCATATATACTAATAGCACATATACTATATATTACATAATATACATACTATATACTATATAGCTACTATTTATACATATATGCTATATAGATACTATATACTATATATACATATATACTATATACTATAATTTATATTACATCCCAAAGTTTATATTTTAACGTTTTTCTGTCCTTCAATAATTTGTTTTTGTTTCATTTTTGAGTGTCTAGTTCATGAGTATGTTCAATGTTTATCAGAATATCCTAAATATACGGATTTAATCCTTGAGATTACGTCTTAGACTATCTTTGATTGGAGTTAATTCCAAATCTAACCTTAATCTCAGGGATTAAGTTCGAGTACTTAGGATTTCAACATGAATTATTACCTTTGTCGTGCTCAACCGGGAATCCTGCTAAATAATACTTGTATATTCAATCCCTTTCCCACAATGTTTCTGAAACTGACTTACCCTGATAATGTCTCCTTCATTGAATGGCAATTCTTCGTCAGCTCCGTCCACATTCGGCGACATAGTCATCGGGTCATATCTATACAACGCGATGTAGTAACGAACTTGTTCCGAAGCAACCTCGCTTCCTTCCGAGTCAGATCTGTTCTCGGCGGAAACGAGTTCGGACGTTCGTTCGGAACCACTCGGAATGTTTTCGTTACCATCGCTTCCAGTCTCCACCGTGTCCGGGCGGTTATCGGGCAAGGATAGCGTAGCCATGATGGCCTCTAAAGCGTTTTCAGCTACAGGAGGTTCTTCAGAAAGAGAACTATCTGATCTTAAAGACGCTCTTGTGGGACAACTTGACTCGCTAATATTTTCAGTCGACTCTTCGTCTTCTGTCTTATTTCCATCGGAATTAGGTTCTGTGTTGTCTTCATTGTGACAGTTGACAGTAACTTCCTCACCCTTAGAACTATTATCATCAGATCTTACCTGTGTATTGCCGCTTGCCTTTTCCGTGAGATTTACGGAATCTAAGTCTGTCTCATTTTCCTGGGTAACCCTATCAATTTTATCTTTCTGAACACTTCTATCCCTCAAAATCCCAGCATTATCCATGGTTTGTTCATCGTTACTACCAATTGTCCTATAATCGGTGTCATTTCGATTATCACTCGTAGTTCTAAAATTACCCTTATCGACCCTAGATGTATTCGCACTTTGTCCTTTCTTTGTCGTAGATGTTGTATTGTCACCCTTAGGCTCACCAATCATAGCATCATCCTCGCCATCAAGGAGATCCAAAACATCGTCTTCAGTTCGGAAACCCTCGTCATCGGACGTAAGGGTTCGGCTCCGACTCCCAGTTATATCCGAGTTCCTAGAATGATCATCCGGGAGGGAGGTTAGTTGTTTATTAGAAAGAGTGGCTTCATCATCACTGGTTCTATCTTGTGAGCTGGGACTATTTGTTTCGGTGAGATTATCTTCATCAACTTCGTGTATGACAGATAACGGTGGTCCGTATTCTGTATCCGTTTCGCTTTCAGAATGCGGTGGTCCGATAGTCAGAGTGGGACCATTCCCCTTTGCCCCACTGCCCATATCATCCGACACCGCATTCTGGATGAATGCTTGAAAATCTTTCGAGCGATTCTTGTCCTCCTTTTTTTCGCTATCAGTCTCGCTCCCTGAGGAGCGATGATCTGTAGCTAAATTGTTCTGCGAAACTCCATTACCCTGGGGTGAAGAATTTGTATTATTGCCATCGCTTCTTCTTATATCGTCTCCTTCGCGTGGTTTAGTATTGGAAATGTTTTCCTTAGTCCCTGGATGATTACCGCCGAGAGTATCACACTCGGGTAATTCGTTCAGGTTTTTATAGTCTTCGTCGTTTTTATAGGCGACGTCGACTTCGTTTCCCCCCGAAATCTACATCAACAAAGTTATGGAATTTGAAACGCTAGACAGAAGGTACATGGCACTATAAAACCCAGGAAAAACTGAGAAAATTAAAGCGAATACGCAGCAAATTGTGTAAACAGGTCTCAAATTAGATAACCTACCTCAAAATGCTCAAATCTTTCAATCAATTCATCTTCCGTGTCCATGGTCTTAGACTCTGTGCTATAACTTTCACTTTCCGTTTCAACGTCATACCGGTTGACGATTGGTGGCCTTCGGACAAGCGTCGGAGGAACATCGGTTGCACTCGTCGTATCTTTTTCTAGTCCGCCATCTTTCACGTTCTCGTTGTCATCCTTACTTCCTGAATTCAACTCGGTAACCTCGGAAACATTCGATTTCCTACTGGTCCTACTTTCCGAAGTCGAATCTATACTCGACGTGGCCTGGTGAACACTGTCGCCGCTGTCTTTCTGATCGCTTTCATTACTTGAAAAGGTGCCTTGGTTCCTTGTACCTTCTTTACCAGACAAGCTTTGTCCAACGCTGTTTTTCGGCAATTCAGAATTGTTTTTACTTTCTAATGCTGTAGAGTTCCCTTCCAAAGAATTGGCCAAATCCCTTGAGACTATAACATTGCCATCACTCAATAAATTGCCTCCATCAATATTTTTAGGCAAATCTGAATTACTCCCTGCCTTGAAATCTTTTTTATCTGCATTATTCACACTTAAAACAGCTCCTTCCACCCTCCCACAAGTCCTATCTTCTATTTCATGATCTTCGGAGCAAATTTCCACAGCATTCGAGTCTAGAGACTCGCCCAGTACGGACAGCGTTCTAACAACAAAGCGCATGCGCGAAAAGTCGTGTCGCTTTCCAAGATTTCTCAGTTTTTCCACTGGTATTGTTATGCTGTCCACACAGGCAGAAACAACCTCCGTGCAATAAATATCATTCACGTAAATCTTATAACCGCTCACTTTATAACCATTAGAGTAGCCATCGAGAGAAAGAGTGACTGGTAACCAAGTTAGAACGACGTTCTCTGACGTCCGCTGGGAAAGTCGAAGATCAACAGGAGGCTCTGGTAATCCTATCAGAGAAAAAGTATTATCACACCATTTTAAACGATTAATGAGTTCTCACTGTAACCTACAATAGACGTCAAGACCAAACATTTGACAGTCTGCATTACAAGCTGCCGTCCCATCTCAGCTGCAAAATGTAGCCCTGTAAAGAACTTTATCAAACTTCTACACATTGCCTTGCATTAAGAATATAACAATTTTCCGCTCAAATACGTGATAATTTTTACCGCCTTTTAAAATGATCAATTCATGCTGAATTTGCGATGTTCAAAAGGATATTTTTCTACCTCTCGAGTTACCAACAGGACAGGCTGAAAAATTAGCATTGGGCTAGCAAACCAAAGGTCGCTGATTCGATTTCCACTGTGATCAAGCTAATTGTTCAGCTTTTCCGATTTGTAACTCAGAGAGGCCCACCACGTTTAGATCCCTTGAATTATTTAACTGTATAACTATATATAACTATAGTCTTACCTCCATCAGCCGTTGTGAACTCCACTTCAGCACTTAAATCCTTCTCTGTGAGCTTATCCCCAGACATTTCAAGATGGCCAGGGATTATTGTCCGCACTCGTATATGATATTGTGTCGAAGGAGAAAGATCGTTAATCGCAAAAGATGAACAACCAGCTTTGACATTTTCCAGTAATGTTTCGTTCAAGAAAATCTCGTGCTGGTAGCTACTGTGAGATGGTAACCATTGAAGCTCTCCTGACGTGGCTGTGATCTTGGTTACATCGACGTTGCTAGGCGACAACGTGGCATCTGTATGCAATGACGTAAGAAGTATATAAAATCTACAATACTAGATATGCCTTGCCAATCAGAATCAGAAACAAAAAGAATTGTTATCATTGATGTCACAAAAGTGCCTGTCGCCTAGGAGAGTCTTTAAAAGTCTTACTCGTAGTCGTTGGCCTTTTGAGCAAGAAATAATAAACAAACTGGTACTCAAAAGCTCGGCGACTACGAGTTTTGGCTGATGGCGTAAGCAAACAACACGCGAGAATCACGAATCTTGTAGTCGTAGTCGTACTCGTAGAAAACCTTACCTGGACCGAAAACCATTGTAGCGTCGGTATCAGGTGACTCAACACCGCTGACCGAATTCGTTCGCACCGATACCCGATATGTCTGGAAATGTAAAGATGTTTCTCGTAAGCCGGTAAGCGCATAGTAGCACAGTTGAACGCAAATTAACCTTACCGATAAAAAACAAAGCCATAGCATGGATGTTATATCCAGTGTATATATAAGATCAGTGCCGTACCTCGGTGGGTTTGATATCTTCCACAACGACGTTCGTCTTTTTGCTTCCTTTGATCTGGGTCTTGAATTTCCCGTCGACATAAACATTGTATCCCTGGATTTCATCATTGGGCAGCTTCGCTCCTCGCCAGCTTATCAATGCACTGTTCGTAAACTGACGATCCAGAGAGAGTTTAGTCGGTGATGGAATGCCTAAATATGGTAAAATAAGGATTACTGAGGATCCAGCGAGGTTTTAAAACTCTTCGTCAAAAGTACAGTCTTACTAATTCTGGTGAAGATGATTAGGTTGAAACGTAGGGAAGTTTAGGCCTGGTTCAGCTAACTTATTTTCCGATAGGCAAAGCATTTTTCGCACTAGTAACTTTAGGCAAAGGAAATCCCAGATTCTTAGAAAGTGTAAAGCAGGCTCTATATATTTTAGGCAATTGTTGAAGCAAACTTGACGATGACAAGTTGTGTAAAGAAGTTGCTATGTGCATGATTATTTTAAAAGGTATGTTGCACTGGGTGATTATGATCAGATGTTAATTCGATAACCAGATTTAGACATGTTTCATTCCTTTATAGGAAAAGAGATGCGTCATTCATGATCTTATGATTTCTCATGATATCTTCACAAAGTTGAAATATTACCCTAGCAATATATAATCAGATCATGAAATCCTGATAACTCACGTGGCTCTGGGACATCAGAATCCATCGAATCCAATCCATCGCTAGAAACCTGATCCGCTTCCGGTTTATTGCTCTTGTTTTTCTGGTTTTTCCGGTTTCCCAGCTCGTCCTCGGAGAGGGAACTCATTCCCAGGTCGTCTTCCTCAGACTCCCGGATGTCATCGAGTTGTTCAGTGAGCACGTGATCAAGAGATGATCGAAACATCTCATGACGACGTTCTGACAATAGAATAAATACTTTTAATAATGTTTAATAATGTTTTGAATAAACAATGTATATAGACATGTTATACTTAAAATGCTTCCATTTTCTTCGCATTTTTAAATGTTTAGGTGTATCTATTAGATGTTTTACATGATTTATATCTATTACTGAAGGTTGAGACGCAGTTTCGACATAGAAGCGGAAAACTTTATTTAACATAACAGTACTCGATTTAAAATTGCTCGAAAAAACACTTCACCGGTTTATCAAAAGGTGGAGAAAAATATGTTCGCAGACACAAACATTACTGCCACCACATGTTGTCAGAGCGGTTGAAAACAGGTTCAAAATCTTTAATCAACATTTAGGTATAAATAAGACGTGAAATTTGTAATAACTTTCAATTAGCAATTAATTCTCGAGAATTAGTCGAGAGAGTTTCTAGAGGTTTAAAACTTAATTCAGTCTTAGCTTTAAAACTTCGACATATAGGGAGCGGTAATTAAAATAGGTTAATTCTTGAATTTATAAGACGACAGGTTTTATCTGAATTGTGCGTGAAGTTAGACTGAACATTGCAGGGAAAATGGGTAGAATTTTGAAATCATTATTGAAAGATAAACGTTTTTATACGCACATGATTTGTCTCCCTTATTTTTATTATGCTCAGGAAGTTTATGTTCAATCTAACCTTTAAACAATCTGATCTAATTTAACGCTGGATTACCTGACTATATTTGAACTTATCTTAAAGATTTTATGACCCAACTCAGGTTACATCAATCATAATTTTCTTATTATTTACCCGAAAATGCTTTCGGTCGTATTACTCTCTTCTCGCCATCCTCGTCTTTTAACGTTATTTCGTCCTCTGAACTGTCTTCTTTTAGAAAATTTATACAAAAATTTTAGCAGAGGCTTTAAGTAGAAAGTTATGGTTAAAATAAACCACGTGGTTAAAATTTTAGGTAAAAGTAAAAAACGTGTCCTACGCATAAAACATTTTAGAGTTCATTTTAACTTAGAATGTGGGTATAAACAAACAAGGCGACAAACAAACAAACGATTAGAAGACAAAAGAAAGTAAACAAAACTATACAGCAAAAATGTTTTGACAATTCTTTGACAATTCTTTACCTTCGCTATCAGAATCAGCATCTGAAAAAAAACACAATGTAAATAAAATTCTGGTTTAAGAATCTATATAGATTAGAAAGGTTTGTTTTGACATGAAAATTACACTTTTTAGCAGATTAAGACGAACGATTACAAACAATTCAATCATTTCAATATACCTAAGTCATCGCTTTCTTTCAAAATGGCCTCTTCCTCTGCGATTTGTTCAACAAAATTCGAAGGAACAAGACCGCGTTCGCCGTTCATGAGCTCACCCACGTAAAAACCATCCTGTTTCAAAACATCAATATGTCATTCCAAATTAGATGATGACAGCACTTCGATAACGAAAACAATTTTTGCGAATTCAAAACCGTTAAGAAACAATGTTAAAAAGTTTAATATATTGAGTGAGAATTCGGTTAACTTTTGACGAACTATCGTGTCTGCAAAATAACGCGGAGACAGTTTGGCAATTTTTTCACAACTGAATCAACTACATTTTTATACAACCGACCTGTGATAGTTGAAAACAATATATTCCTGGGGCCATTTGTTCGAAAGGCGTTTAGCTTAAACGGTGGATAAGTTAAAAATGAAAAACCAAATTATCTATTTATTGAACAACTGCATGAGCTGAAATATTTCGTTGTAAATAGTTTAATTGTCAATGGAAGTACACCGTTTAAGCTAAACGCCTTCCGAACAACCGGTCCCAGGATTCTAAACCGTTTATCAGAATGGTTTTTCGATCATTGCGAGTTTTTTTACGATCACATACCCCATCGACATCTCCATAAACATACAGATAATCTCCAGCTTGAAAAGCGAGCTCCATTTCTGGGTTCTCGTTAGGAGAATATAGCATTGGATCATAATTGTACTTAGCGATGAATATGGAGAGTTTTTCTTCCAAGTCGGGAGAGTCTTGAAGCGGACTTCCGATGTAAATATCAGGATCTACACAAACGTGTGTAAAAGATTTGGGTTTAGAAAACATGTCGAGTACTATTTCTAAACGTCAAGTTAATTTCTAAAATGCATTTGAAAGTACAAGAATTGCAATGCGTAGTTCTTGCAATAGGCGGAATGGCGTGTTTATATGGAGTTCATTTTTTAGTACAGGTTCATTAGACGTCATGTTTTAATGTAGAAACCGAATATACGCCAATGTTCACATGCTCCGAAGGTATGTTTATCGCGAAATAACCCGGCCAAGTGGGATGGAGTGTTTATATGGCAATTTCTCGTCCCGTCTAAGTGGGATCCCGGAATGGAAGAGTGATCATATAAACACTCATTTCACTCATTATATCGTGTTTGTATCACAAGCGTAGCGTATCTCATTGTTTTAAAGTCATTAGTTCTGGTCGAATACTTCGGAAACAGAAATACGCTACGTTACGTTACGATACGGTTGAAGTGGAAAACAGGCCTTAGTTTCCATATTACGTAAAGCTAACCTTAATTAAACTAGTTTATGCCACTTACACGATAATTATTATACCATACCAACTATCAAGTTATCCTAGCGCCACACAAACATAATTGAATCAGGTGTATTAGACAGATGCAGACACACGAAATAATTATAGTTATTAACTTTTTATTACCGTCTCTGGGATCGTAAAAGTCTGATTCTTGCTGGTCATCTTGCAATGTCTTATTGACACGAAGTTCTTCAACATCACTGGCTTGGCTCACATCCGCGCTGTAACTTTTATCTTCCTCGTTCGCCTGATCTTCGACACTCGGCTCCGAAGACTCGCTGATCTCCGAAGCTAAAAATCGAAAGAAAAAATGTTTCATGAATTTTCCCTGCATAACAAAACTAGTTGATGATGAAAACAGAAGATAAAGTGAATCTTCAAGGCTCCGTTCAGAATCGCTCTTGTTTTAAAAATACTCACACACGGGCGATTGTTTCTGGGTTTCCACAAAATTAGAATCAATCTCGTCAGAATCTGAAGCAGCCAACTGCTGAATTCGTGTTCCCGCTTTTTCCAAATCGAAACTAGTCGAAGAACTCGTTCCGTTGCACGGGACATTCAGGAGTTCCTGGCCCGAATCATCATCGATACTCTTTATGTCTTCGTCTAAAAAAAGAAAACCAAATAGGATTGCTCGCATATGTGCTTGGGAATTTCTGTTCATCAACCTTAGGCCTGTGTTTCCACATATCTTTGTCTGTTTCAGTGAACAGATTTCAAGCTTGGAGTCAGCAAAGTCAAATAACCCGGGGAAACAAAAAAACCCTTCATGTGAAAGATTGCAAACAAACTTTAAGTCCTCTGTTTAATCCGATCAGTTAATACAGTTGACTTGGTGAAAATCAAGTCAATGTTTGAGAGCTTAGAAAATAATCGATCGCCCTAAAATTGCCCGTTTTCCGCGGCATAACCTAAATTAAAACTTAGTATTCTTACGTTGGGGGATCTCTTTCATAACTGTTAGCTCCAACCTGTTATTTAATTGGTTTTCATGCATGTGTAAAATGGTTGAAAAATTTCTATCCGGTGTGGTTAGCACCATCCAGCTTTCGTACAACCGGCCCCTGGTGTCCATCTGTTTGTTGTTTACCTTGTTGGGAGTCTCGTCGTAACTCTCGTATTCCGTTGTGTATTACTGGTGACATGACCGGGGATGACGGACGAGAGGTCTGGGTACTCTTGCTGTGTTTTGGCGTCGACGTTAGCACTGAACTTGTCGTGTGACGAGATTCGGCCATCTTTTCTTCACGAATACTCCTCGCTTTTTGTTCCTTTAATCGGCGCACCATGTCCTCCAAACCACTCACTTCTGCTGAATGATTTCTCTGAGCCACTTCTTGCGCCTGAAGTTAATCATATACGTTTATCTCCTTTCATAGTTGAACGCATTCTGTGTGCAAATGTTATTTTCTGGGGGGGGGGTAAGCGTTCAAAAGACTATTTTCATGCAGGGCCACATTCTCAAAGACAGAAGAAGATTGGGGAGAAAAATAAACAATGTCTGCGATCATAGTTGGGCGACGAGTGAGATTTTTCCAAATTAGAGACATCTGTAACGCTATTTTATGAAAGTCCCGGTTATGCTGTCAGAGATAGATAGATCAATTACGCATTTAAAATAAACGACAAAATTTTTTAAGGCAAACATGTTTCGACTTAACTATAAGCCATCTTCAGTGCGAATGAATAGATTAAGAACTACCGAATTCTGAACTCCAGCCGACCTCAAGAACTACCGAATTCTGAAAAACATCAAAAACAACAACAACATTATAGTCCTTAGACCAGACAAAGGTAATGGTGTAGTTATTATGGATAAAGTAGCTTATAAGAACTCTTGCCTCAACATTATTAACGATCAAAATAGGTTCAAATTACTATCAGATGACCCTACACTAGGCAGAGAAGCTAAACTTCAACGCTTACTCCGCAGACTTAAGAAACAAGGATCAATAGATGATAAGGTTTATCAAGCTGTCATGCCCAGAGGGTCTCAACCAGCTAGGTTTTATGGCTTACCTAAGCTACATAAACACCGCGATCTTAACAGCTCCCCTCCACTTAGACCCATAGTTTCCTCTGTCAATACTTATAATTACAATTTAGCTAAATACTTATGTTCTCTGCTCAACCCTCTTATACCAGACGACTACATCACGAAAGATTCTTTCTCGTTTGTTGACGAACTATCTAAACTTGATAGCAGTGGACGATTCCTTATATCTTTTGATGTTGAAAGCCTTTTTACTAACATCCCTTTGAATGAGACCATTGAAATTGCGGCTAATCTGATTCTCGCCAAATACCCTAATTTTTCAATCAACAAAAAGCACCTCACACATTTATTTAGCTTGGCTACATCACAAACCCATTTTATCTTATGAGGTAGCTATGGGCTCTCCTCTAGCTCCGGTTTTGGCTAATCTTTTCATGGGCCACCACGAAACTAATTGGATTAACAACTACAGCGGAAACAAACCTCTTTTCTACCGACGTTATGTTGATGACACGTTTTGCATGTTTGAAAATGAAACTGATGCTAAACTTTTTTTCGATTATCTCAATTCTCGCCATAATAATATTAGGTTCACTTTTGAAACGGAACAAGATGGCAAAATTTCTTTCCTTGATATACTTATTGTGATGACTATCGAACTTATTATTATGCCAAAACATTGCTCATTACATGCATGATTAGACATGAATCGTATATAAAACGGACAGCGAACTATAGACTTTTTTAATCGGAATACAGAGGTATTCACAGTCGGAGTATAACCTATATCGGAGTATTTATCTGGAACCTAACATTATTGGAGTTAACTGTAGCTATAGCCAAGAGACGTCGAAGCAAAGATTTTTCACCGACTGTTCGAATGAAATAAATGTAAAGAAAATCGTAAGTTGGTTGACGCTACGTACTCCAAGCCTGGAGGCACGACACTTATTAAGAAATCTTCTACTACGTTTTCGACCTCCGTTTATCACAAAAAAACTTACACCGGCCTTTCGACCAACTTTTTTAGCTTTACGTCATTTCGGTACAAATCGTGTCTCATTAAAACACTCTTAGATCGCATTTATAAAATCAATAACACCGAAGTTGGCCTCAATAACGATCTAAAAGAACTCACCAACACGCTTCAACGCAACGCGTTCTCGCAACATCTGATCGAACGCACAATTAGCTCTTACAATAACAGACAAAACTCACAAACTACAAATACTCTGAACACCAATTTGCATGATCAACAACAACCCAACGTTCATTACTTCAAACTCCCATACATAGGACACTACTCTCAAATTACAGAACAGAAACTTCTCAACATTGCCAAACGATTCTGCAGTGACATAAACCTAAAACTGGTGTTCACTTCTTACAAAATCAAAAACATTTTCAACTTTAAGGACGCAATCCCCAGTGATCTAAAATCCCTTGTGGTGTACAAATTTACTTGTGCAGGATGTAATTCCTGTTATATTGGTGAAACCACCCGACATCTCGCCACAAGGATCAAAGAACACACCTCCACTGACAAAAACTCACACGTCTATAAACACCTACAAAACCCCAACTGCAATTCTAAATACACCCGGTCCTGCTTTTCTATCTTAGACACTGCTAAAACTTCCTTCTCTCTCAAACTCAAAGAGGCTCTTTATATTCGTAAACACAAACCAGACCTTAACAAACAGGTTCAGCATTTTAATACTATTTTCCAGCTATAAATATTTTTGTTGTTGTTATGTTCTGTCTTTTGTGTTGTCTCACTTAGTATGCATATTTTGTATCCTGTTATGTTGTCAATCATTTTTGTAAATAATCTAGTTATTCATTGAGTATCACCTCGCATGTATATATCATATTTCTACTTTATATAATTCACAATGTAAATAATCTATTCATTCGCACTGAAGATGGCTTATAGTTAAGTCGAAACATGTTTGCCTTAAAAAATTTTGTCGTTTATTTTAAATGCGTAATTGCTCTTGTGCTACTCCGATCATATGGTATAGATAGATCAGCTTTATTTATTGAGTGTGAACACCGAACAGTATGATCAACTGATTAACAAGTGGCCCTCCAGCTTATACTAATAGCTATATTAATACGTTAAAAATCAATATTAGAAAGAGAAAAAGTCTGTATATAAAATCAATTAAAAAGTTCACTATAACTGTCATTATGTCATTAATAACTTTCCGAACCGCCGGTGTTAAAATAGGAAGATTTAGCACCAGGACGTGTCATGTCCACGCCATTCATTCGCCATTTTCACGTCGTTTTTGACGCTCACGTGCTCGTGCTAAATCTGCCTAATATTTCATTTCACCGGACTTTCATACCTCATAAAGAGATGAAATTTCTTGATCTCGTTCCTCGAGCTTCAACGAAACATTTTCTCTTTGCTTTTCCAAATCCATATTATCTAGCTTTAACTGTTCGGCCTCCTAAAAGAAAAATGAATACATAACTTTTTACCACATTCCATGCGGTTTGTATACGACAGAAATCCTGGATTTCAAGAAAAAAAAATTGAAGAAAATACAATTGTTTAGGATCCAATTCACGGATTTAAGTTTCTAATTCATGTCTTAGCTTGTACGTCTGTTGAGATGAAGATATGAAAAAAATCAATCTTCACCGGAAAACATTCAATGATCCCAAGTAAAATTTCAACAACGTGAAACGGTAATGATAAAATTATTTAGTACACCGTAACCAGTAGGCCAGCCAAATAAATAAAGCATCTACCTTTTTAACTTCGGATAAGTCTTTGATTTCGTTTCTTAATTTCACGTTCTCCTCTTTCATTGCAAGATTCTCGTTTTCCAATGTCTGGATACACTCTTTTAAACGAGAGCATTCTCTTTCAACCTAGAGTTGAAGACACCCTTCAAATGTGATCGCTTTGTTCTGGATTTAATAAAGAGGAATGGTCCAAATATTCCGCGAAAATCGCTGGAGTTCCTATTGCTTCGAAAAAAAGGAATTCTTATTGCGATTTCGTGGTTTGATATGCGATTTCGTGTTCTTTTATGTGAATTTTTAGAAAGCTGTCAAGACCTTGAAAACGATTGGTCAGGCTATGGTCTATTATCACACACGAATTAAGTATGATCGAAATTGTAAACATTGTTTACGATTGGCTACATCGGAAGCAGAATGGATCAATCAAGCGAAGTTCGCAACAACAGGCTTAGCTACATAGTCTCTTAATGAATAAATAATACGTAATGCAGTGGATACCAGATCGCAAGTGATACTTGATTGCAAGATTGACATGCAAGGCAGTGGATACCTGATTGCAAGATTGACATGCAAGGCAGTGGATACCTGATCGCAAGTGATACCTGATTGAAAGATTGACATGAAAGGCAGTGGATACCTGATTGCAAGTGATATCTGATTGCAAGATTGACATGCAAGGCAGTGGATACCTGATTGCAAGTGATGCCTGATATTGCAAGATTGACATGCAAGGCAGTGGATACCTGATTAAGCTGGTCAACTTTGGATAACAACTCGTTGTTTTTCTTCTGTAATGCATTGTTCTTCGCAATGAACGCTTGTTTTTCTAAATCCTAAATTCAACACCTTGGTGAGTAAGTTGCATAAAACTATATGAGTATGCTTAAGGAGGCTATGCACAGTTACTGTTTTACACTATTTTACATTTTCAGGCGTTCTCGTTAATTTAGATGATATTTATCAGTTTAGTTACCATTGAAAAAAAATACACGAAACATCAGAACCAAAAACGTAGGCCCGTGTTTAACTCGAGCTAACCAGGTGTCAAAAGATAATCAAACTTACCAATTTATACAACCGCTTGTCCTTTTCCGAACACGCATTTTCCAGTTTCTCGTTGCGTGCCTGGACTTCTTTCAGTCGAGTTGACTAAAATTCACAAAGAAAACCATGAATAAGAAAAATATATGAGTTTTAACCAAAGACTGTATCCTGTCAGAAGATGATAGCTTATTCACATATCTTTACACGACGAATATCGTCGCAATGATTATGACCCCTTAAATTATACAATGGAACTTCGCGATCTTTCGACGTGAGGGCCTTCGTGCATGGAGGAAGTTATAGTACAAATAAGGATATAAGGATATAATAAGGATATAATAAGGGTAAAATAAGGATATAATAAGGATACAATCAGATAAGGATATAATTATACAACAGGAGATTCATATAATAATTGTTCCTAGGTATTGTAAATTGCAAGGAACGTAGGTATCAAACCTATATTTAACCCAGTTATTTTATAATAATATAAACAAAACTTACAATTGTGTCGTGTTTTGATTTAAAATCTTGCAGTTTACACACTTCCTCTTTTAAAATATCGTTATCATTTGCTAGTCTTGTGTTTTGAGCGCTGATATCCTTTATTTCTTCTCGTAAATTCTAAACAAGGATTCAAGTTCATTATGCAACACACGTATAAGAGAACCGTAGTGAAGAAGCTTACTTTCCAATGTAAGAAGTAAGATGTTTGTAAAACTACACAAGGTCCCCAGTAGCTATCATAGATATTACTGGAGATATTACTGGAAAGGTGTCTGTATATACTTTTTCTAGATGCCGGAGGTGTATGTATTAAGATAATCGTAGGTGTTTGAGATATTTAGAAACATATTGCATGGTTTAAAACAGATACATCTGCAATAAAAATAGACATTCTCAAGAGCTTGGCATCAGTGTGTATGTGTTAGGGATATCTCTATTTGAGTTGATGTTGAAATGTTAGAAGAGACGTTTTGGGAAATGTTTGGATTGAGAGGGGAATATGTGTATTACAGGTCAGTTTGTTCAAAGAGGAAGATACGGCAGAAAGATAAATGTTTGTAATATAGGGTTGTTTTGATACAGTCAAAAATTTTTATAAGAAAGCTGTGTACGTTGAATAAATCTTTTATGAAAGAATAGACTTTTCCAAACATAAACACAATGCACTGTTTAGTTAACACGAGTCCGACTAACCTCGACGTTTGAAGAAACTTGTTTTTCAAGCAAAAGACGTTCTTTAGACGTTTGTTCAACAATCTTTTCCAGTTCATCAGCACTTCCATTCTAGTAAAGACATAAAAATAGAGTCTACTTTTAGTGGGAAAATACATGACTGAGGAGCCTACCGGTTAAATATGGCTTTTTTTTCAATACGCATAGCTCTATCCAGTGTATCATAAGATCAGAGATATACTCAACTGGATTGTATTTTCTGAATGTTTAACTTGCAATTTCTAAGTGTTTTATAATATAACATTTATAGTACGCACATGCTGATTGGTCGAGAAGCATGTTTTTATAACTGTATAGAGACACGGGACTTTTCCCGTCGAAATTGACGAAGTAATTTAAGAGAATCTGTAATTGAATAGAATTATAATATTTGTACAAAATCTTTTTATTGAGTTATATTATAAAAGACAGAAAAAATCTTTCTTGTGTTTCTATACGGTTATAGAACACTTTTATACCACATTATACCACCACATTTGATGCTAAATTAAATTTTGAAATATATCAACTAGATCGAGTTCAGAAAATATGGGCGCAGTCGTTTAGTTTTGATCAAGTGCACAGGGATACACGTACAAACGTTTAATTTAGATCGCGCAGAACATGCGTGCAGTCGTTTAGCTTCAGATCAAGTTCACAGAATATGCGTGCAGTGTATTTTAGATTCGATCCAATACACGAATATGAGGACTGAAAAAGTGCTTTCAAAAAACACGCTAGAGTGATTACATTCCCTGTAGTTCGATGTATTTGATAAGCCAATATAGAGAGATCTTTCTCAGTAGAATTCAGCAAAATTTCAAACAGGGTAGCGCAAGACGGGGGGGGGGCATCAGCAGTTATAGTTTTCTGATATATTTTTATTCATTTTATATGAAACACAAATCTAATTAACAGCAGTTAATAAAAGCTGAAGAAGTTATCCTTCTTCATTATATTCGAATATTACAAAGTGATATATAGTTAGAAGTTTCTATGAAGTTTCAATGTTTCCCATGATTAATATTCCCCCTATTATGTAATGCCATCGCTTTGACAAGGCTAATATACGTACTACCATTTATACTCATTATCTAGGCTACGCTTTGAAAATCAATATTAAAAATTACATAAACATGAACATTTCAAGAATATTATCTGAACATGGCTTATAAAGTGATCTGAACATACGAAAACAACTGGAAATATTGATCAAATAATCAACTCATAGTTTGCTGACCAATAACACGGTTCCATCGGTCAGATGAATCGTTACACAGGCTCGTTACACTTGCAATTTTTGCTGCAATTTTTTGTGTGATTTTCGCCTTTTTGGTAGGCCCATATGTAAACGGGTGAATTACTTACTGATGTTCAAAATAGAGCCCTTATACATCATGGGCCGGTTGTTAGCTTGAACGGTGGATAAGTTCAAAATGGAAACCAAAATTATCTATTTATTGAACAACTGAGCTGAACTATTTCGCTTTAAATAGTTTAATTTTCAATTTTCAAACATATTTAATGCATAAGATGCAGGTTCAATCATTCACAAGATGTATGAGAGCAGTTTTAAACTTTGGCTTATCCACCGTTTAAGCTAATCGCCTTTCGAACAACCGGCCCCAGAGCATTCGGAACTATTTACTCGTTCACATCTTGCACATAAAATCGTAGCAAAAATCGCAAATGTAAACGAGCCTTTAGGCAAAATTCAAAACCCCGTTGATTTAAGCAACGTTGTGTAACGTAACATTTTTATTAAAAATGTATGGATTTGCCTGGACGGGGTCAGAGTCTTCGCTATTTAAACCGTTCTCTCGGCGAGAGATCACTTGCTAAAAGTAAAAGTATAATATACGTTGGATGATTTATTGTTTCAGAAGAGTTTGTACTAAACGCTACTTTCGTAGATGATTAAATCGTCATCTTCATTGTTTGTTACACGAATTTGGTGTGATTTGTTCCTTAATGATTTCAATCGTCGTATCAAATGTTCGTCATGATAGCTAGAGGTTATACTAAATTCAGTCTGACGTAATCCAGGTTTTGCATCCGCCAGTTTGTTCACTAATGGTCTCACTCGTTGTTTCAACTGTTGTTTCCACGCATCTTTCTGATCTTCTCCTTTTTTCGCCGCAACAATATTCATAATGTAAGGAAAAGCACTAAAGCTGAACGTTGTGAGTAACTGGACTGTTGGGGAAACATCGCTGGCTTGAAGAACTCGAACAAGAGTGAGAATAAGATAAGAGAACAGAAAAGTGAAGAAAACTTTTAACGCGAAGTAAAAAAGATTCACATGGTATGGTAAGAGGCGTTCCCTAATATTATCATAGAGTTCCTTTGATACAACGCACACAATTTTACTACAATCATCTAACACATCACTTCCTCCACTGCCACTCACGTTGTTGAGGATATTGTTGAGGACATTGTCTAGTTCATTATTAAGGTCATTGTTGTTGTTGTTGTCATTGTTGTGTTGTTGTCATTGTTGTTGTTGTTGTCATTGTTGTTGTTGTTGTGATTGTTGTTGTTGTTGTCATTGTTGTTGTTGTTGTCATTGTTGTTGTTGTTGTCATTGTTCTTGTCATTGTCATTTTTGTAATCCATGTTGCAATCATAAATCAGCCTCATCAAGACGACATATTGTTGTTCAACAGATGACCAAATCATCCAGGAATAAAATGTCAGAATTGATATGTAAACAATGTAAGGGAAAAAGAAGACAATATTGAGAATTATGCCTAAGAGCAACCCAATTACAATAGGAGGCGTGTAGGAAATACAAACCAATATTGGTAACATGAGAAAAATTACGTTATTTATAATATATATGGCTATCAATCTTCGCCTCCTTGTGCTGATGAAACGAACAGCTGAAATATGTAAAGTATACATGCATACAAACGTTAAACCAACTTGCAATATAAAAACAACTGGAATGTAAACCAAACAAAGAAAAACAACTTTAATGTACAGCAGAACTTTACACCGTACAAAACATCGTGATGTATTAGAGGACTTGACAGATTCAGAAAATCTAATCAACGATTTTTTCCACAGTTTTATGTTAAAAGGCAACGTGGCTAAACCAATGGCTTTCGATTTAGCCTGGCGCGACAAATAGGTATGTATGTCATAACTAAAAATGAAATGCTGCAGTTACATTAGGAATTAAATGCAATACTTCTGAGAAGTCAATTTCCATGAAAAAATTCTCAGCATCGTAATATATGATGAACACAGGAATGGACAGCGCCGAAAGAGGAAAAAGCACAAGAGGAAGAATGCTAGAGTAATCGAAAAATTTCAGTGTCCAACACAACAGGAAGATCACTACCAAGAGCAAACACCTGCGTACAAAAGATCTCACTCTTCCATAACCATCCCAAAACAACAGACGCAGAATGGATAGTAATGACATCGGACTTTCCGTTAGCCTGTAATAACCATCGTTCTTATTTTCCTTTTTGACTAGTAATATTATGGCAATACATACTAACACAGGCAGAGATAAAAATTTGCCGTATTGAATCACCGATAAGATCGATTTAATAATGCGCACGAATTCAGATTCATCTGACCTCACATAACAATGAGGATTATTGTTAAAACTCTTGCAGCATCTCTTTTGCGTGGTTTGACTCCAATTTTTGTTGAAACAAATTTCTTTCTCCTGGATCATTGACAGTTGTCTCAAAAGAGCACTAGCAATAAAATCTTCTGGTGATTTTTTAGATGCCGTACATCCGGCAGGAATATCACTTACACGCAATCCACTTGTTTTTCTGCCAACGTCAAGAGTCCAAGTGAACCCAGTATGGGCAGCATAATATTCAGTGTCTTTTAGTGCGAGCAATGCCAAGATATTATGACCGATATTGTCTGTCCACAGCCAACTCCACTTCTTAATAGTGGCATTGTTCTCTTTAGAGGTGAATTGAAGATTAAGTTCTACAATATGAACAGCCTTATTTCGACCTAGGTCCTGTAGAAACCACAAATCTTTTTCGTTGACGATCAAAATACATTCCTTGTCTGTTTGACTTGAGGAAGTTATCGTTGTAATATTGTGAGTGTGGTTTTGACTGGTAAATGTGCGCCCTTCGTGACCGTCAGCTGTTACCCAAAACAAAATCCCAAGAACCAAGACAACATACAGAAAAGATGTAACCATTTTGAGTTGACAATGCATTTTCTACAATGAATGAATGAATACTTCCCTTTGTTTGATGCAAGTCAGCAAAATATGTCTATTATTATTGTCCTTGCGTCATACTTGTTGCCGGGAACACGACACTCAAGACAAGCGGCAAGACAAAAAAGACTCAACTACTGGTAAGCTGGATTATTTGCTGTAAAAATAAATAATTAAACAGGCGCTGGTATTTATTCAAAACAACATTTCTTTCGACAATGTTAAATCGACTTCTTATATATTTCTACTACGATTGTAATAAACTGAAGGTCATGCGCAAAGTTTCAGACAAGGTCATGCATGGTCATATGATACTCTGTACTATTCATAACATAAACGGCTGGGTTGTATTCGTTACAACGTGCGCGAATATTTCTTCTAGATGATGTCAAGACTCAAGTGAAGTTATTTTAAATTATGTCACATGAAAGATCATAAAGAGGTTATAATTATATATTTGCAACACAGCTCAGATTATGCCTGGTTTTATTATACGAAGTGATTTGTTGTAAGATTATTCATTGTCGGTAACTAGTGCATGATGCAAAATGCTTGTCGGTAGAAAGAAATTGATTGAATGACTGACTGTACAGATGGAATCGTACGACTGATGCGATAGTGAAATCTACAGCCTTTAAGCCTTTATACTCGCATCAAATGTGGTAGTAACAACTGCCTAAAATAAACAATGTCAATGACACTTCCCGACGTCTCAACTTTTTTGGTGGTCATATTTCCATAACCATTGTGTAGAGGCGGCAGGGCGTCCACAAAATGTTGGCATATATGGCTTTCCTCGCAGACGGATAGGATTAGAGACAAATTAGCGCTATTAATACCGAACCTAACACCCATGGTATTGGTCTTG